GCGCATTCTTCCTGTGTGTAGCGCCAGGCCCTTCACACCTTGCAATGATGATGATGTATGTTGGGTCTGCATTGCGACATTGATTAGGCTGATCATTGGTATTTTAGCCTTCCGCTGCGCTATCTTGTACTATGTGAGAGAGGTCGGTTCTTGTTCTGGTCTGTTCGATTACGGTATGGCGGTCATTCCTCAACGCGTTTCTGCCACCCCGCACAACCGCATCATCAGGAGGTAACAGTCCAATGACTCGAAGCATCGTTCGATCTTGGAGAACGAAACCAGCACCTCCCTCCAACCAATCCCAAGCAAAGGCCACAGAACTATGCTAAACAGAATATTAAGCTCTCGACCCAAGCAGCTATCCACGAAGGGAGAAAGTTACATCCGAGGTATACCAGTAGTAAGAAAGCCCCTCCCGAAATCAATAGTAGCACCACGAGAGACTACTAGATCAGGCATGTCGTGAAGGAAACACAGGAAACTTAACGAAGATTCCCTATGACAGTGATGTTGGCTTGTATCAGAAGGCGTCGAGTACCTGGACCCAGAGCACAAGGCACACACACAGCCAGCAAACAGACACAAAGCCGAGGAAAGTCGCTGAAGGTATTCAAATCCGCCAGCAAAATGCCGTTGATCCATCGAGTAGCGTGCAGATACCACGCGAAGATGACGGAGAGCGGCGAAGATGACCCCAGCAGGCTGACGACCACAACAATAACCCTGGCGCGTCTGAACACCCTAGTGCATAGAGCGCGCATGAGCGCCCATCATTAGGGAAATCCTGAGATGATTGCAGTTCTCTTTTTTACGTTTCATGAACTTTCATCCCTTTTTGCACTTGTGATTATGCACTTTTCATGGCAGTTCGTGAGCATTGCCTCCTTGCAGACTTTCTGGTTGCTCCGAGCTGTTGGTGGGGAGCCACACCTGCTGGAAAACAGGTCCAGCGTCCCATTATACAGAGATGATAATCTGAGAACGCTTTTTGTCTGCCAGCATTGATTACCCTGAAGATCAGGGGATTGACTTACCAAATATTGAGCTGATAGTGAACAGATCGTGAGATAAAAAACAGAGTTTGAGGGAAGGGCGGCCTCTTCAGCTCCGCTGCTTGGCGCCTGATAACTCTGCCTGCCTAGCCACCCTTGATCCCATCTGAACGCAGTGTTGTGCTATCTGCAACAACAATGTAGCAGCAATAATGATGCAAAGCAGCTTTTTGGCCAACCTAGGACTTTCTGAGGTTGCCCTTTCAGCCTCCTGTGTGTACTCAGCTCGCTGGCGATCCCCCTATTACCCACCATACCAGTGTTGGTCCACCAGGGAAAGAGCGGGTGGGGAAAAAGATCCGGGAAGTCTGTAAGAGGCCACAGCAGGATTGAGGTTTCGATCTTTCTCCATTCATGAAAGAGAAGGTGATGGTAGTCTTCTTACCCTGATCTCCCTCCCGTTCCCCTTTCTACTCTATCTCTGGAACCCAGCCCCCTGTTCCCCGCCCAACCAGTCTTTTTCTTTTTTTTTCCCTTTTGAAACTTCACTTCCAGGGGACTTAACGACGTGGTTCCCGGTGTTGAAGCCTCCATCTATTGGTGGGGAGCTGCACCTGCTGGAAATCAGATCCAACATCCCTGTTGATACAGTGTGAATCATGCATCTGCTGGAAAGCGGGTCCAGCGTCCCAGTTGAATCCAATGTGAACATGTTTATGCTATATCCATGATCATGACGGGGCCCATAAACAGGCCCAAGACAGTCAGGCATGCGAGTTCATTGTCCTGATCCAGACGCGTGGTGACCACACAGCGTGGACCTGTGTTCTCTGTTGGCGTATATTGGAAAAGTGTGCTATATGTGGGCTCAGAGCCCTGAACCGCGTGATGTCTCTCTGCCAGGGGGGTGTAGTCCCGTCTGCTTCTCCTCCTGACTCCAGGTGCTGCTCTACGTCTCTTTCTCAGGGAAGGATCCTTGCTTGGCCGGTAAACAGCGGGGACCCAGCCAGTCTTTGCGAAAGCTCTGAATGCTTGATTTGGTTTCCGCTTTAATCCGGATTCCTGATCATGGACACTGTCTTTCCCCCTTATTCCGGCGCAAATAATATTATTGGGTGGAGCATCCACCTTGGATTCTAACCTCTACGAGTCCTGCTGGTGCCAGGTGGAGGCCCAATGACCCATGTATGTGGCGTACCAGGCTTCTGTACCCAAACGATCTTGTGAAGCCCTGAGGTTTTGGTGTTCCTACTCTTCGGATCTCTCTTGGGTTTTTCGGGTACCCCTCTTTTTGCTATCACCTTAAACTACCACGCCCCCCGACAAGAAAAAATTGCTAGCTACCAGTAGTGCATTTTATCGTGACCGGTAGGCGAATGGCGTACCGGGTGGGATGAGGCCGGGGTTCCTGGCGGGTGGACCCGCGATTTCACACTGACCGCCGGGATGCGCATGTCCGCCTCA